TATTATGTGTATAATGTGCAATTTTTAACTTTTGCAAATGGGACGGCCGCAACAGTCTGGATACTCTTTTGTCTTATCCTCCTCATATCCTATCTGTGTTCCTGGGCGACAATGAGATAGAGGACATCTGAAATTTATAGAAAATTAACATCTGATCTGTAACACATTTATCTTTGCAAATTACTTCACTTACGCTTTCGCTGTCACTGATGTCCCTTCTGAGCTACACATCAGTTTACAGCATTCGCATTGAGGAGCCTTCATAATATCTTCAGGACAATTCTCTGTAAATATAAAGAACATAATTATATTAAATTGCGTATAATTTAAAACAATTACAGAATATAGATTACACTTATTAAAAATATTGTAGTATTGTTCTAATCGGGGTATCCATGTACGTAAAATGGCCCATTCTTTCTTATTGAATAAGAAAGTTTTTTACTTCATAGATGTTTTAATGATTCTATTTATTTTCTGTATGTCTTAAATCTTTTATAATGCTTTCAACTTTGATGTGGGTTCTCTTAGATCCATTGTAATTCGTGTAGTTTACTTTATTTGTATTTGATATTTAGTTATGACACATTAATTTATCTTTGTATTTAGTTGTTTATTTATTTTATATTCTGTGTGTGTATGAATTTGTCGTGTCCTAACTCCTTTCCGGCTATTATTATTTAGTTATTTATTTTATGGTTGATAAAATCTCTGTGTAATATATGAAATATATATTCCAGTAATTTTTTATCCAAAGAGAATAAATTAAATCACACTTGATACACATAATATACATAATAATATCCATATCGCTCGTTATTACCTTTCTATAATACTTTGTAAATACGCATTTGATTTTCATTGAGTATAAGAAAGTTTTCGATTTGTTACAAATAATTCATAATATCAATTAATTGTTAAATTTATTACCCCGGAGGGTCTGTCTTCCGGAGAATATTAATTAATTGTTAAAAGTATACGATTTTATAAAGGAAATGGAATTAATATAAATCAATGTATGATTCTGTATTTTCTTTAGAATAATCTTTTTTATTCAGTGCCACATTATTTTAAGAAATGGAGAGAGAGAGGGAGAGAGAGAGAGAGAAATACGTAATGTAATAGATAATGTAAATACGTACCAAATTTCGGAGTTTGTGTACTGAATTGAATCAAGAGGAGAAGAACGCACAATGATACGAAGTGTTTCATCTTGCTGAATTACATTGAATGAGACAAGTACAGCATCGAGATGCGAGAACAATTCTCAAAATGTATGTGTCAATACATATATACATATATATCTTCTTATATCTTTGAACTTTGATCTTTCAAAATAGATTAGATAAAGAGAAAATGCAGATTCTTTTAAAATTATGTCATACATAATCAGTATTTAGCATTAGTTAACATTAATATTTGTTACTACTAGATAATTATACTTTAAAGTTGACAGTTTTGTGGATACTGTTTTGTTTTTTAAAATATTACAAATTTTATGACATAATAAAGCCTTAGTTAACATCAATATTTGCCAGTACTAGATAATATACTAGATAACATACGCTTTAAAGTTTATAGTTTTGTAGATACTGTTTTATGTTTTTTGGGAAAGTTTTTATTTTTAAAATATTACAAATTTTAAAATTTGTTGTGAAAATGTTAAAATTAATATCAAATAAAATTTTTTATTTGTTTTTGTATATCTTGATTGTTTTTATTAAAAAATTTAAGGTTACAAAATTTTGTGATTCTATAAACAAGTATAATAAACGAGAGATGATAAGATATAAATCTTACGGAAATTGTGTTTAATACATACTTATGCAAATGTTAAATTATTAATGTTAAAATTTTGTTAATTTGTTATTATTTGTCTAATGTTTGTTAAGAGAAAAATGTTAAAGAGAATCGATTAAAAAATATTACCATATTATTGAATTATGATTATGTTATTTACCTTTTAAAGCTTCATTTTTATTAGGAAGAAAATGAGATACACTCTGATGCGCATATATAACTTTATTAGATATTTGTGCATATAATATTTTATTTATGATTAGTATGATATAGATAATATACATAATAATTTTATATATGTATGATATATAGAAATGTGTATTATATACGAGTATATGTATATAGTTCTAATGTTTCTTATTAAAACAGAATCTTTAATACACTTTAGCATCTACAGCCGAGAAGTAGGATTTGGTTTACAATCTTAAAACTTAACACATTCATACTTTCCGTACTTTTTGTCTTACGCGCACACACACTCTACTGTCCATATCTAAAAATCTTATTAACTTCCTATATTTCTAGTTCCTGTTTTTTCCTAATATTCTAGCCTCTCTCTGCTTCCTCTTTTCTCGTTCTTGTTTTTTCTCTATATCCAAAATTGTCGTGGTCTTTCTTCTTTATCTCCTCCTTTCTTTTCTCCTTTCCTTTTTCCTTCATGTCCTGTTCGGGTACTTCCCCTGTTGTTTCCTGCCTCCTTTATTCATTTCCATTCCAGCTTTTTCCTTTCCATTTCAGCTTACTGTCCCACAAAGTGGACCAGAGCTAGCCTTTCCTTGTATCCCTCTGCTCCACTTTTTATCCTTTTTGTACTTTCTTTTGAACACCCTCCTTTTCCACTTTATTATCTGTATCTATTTTTCTCTTATTTTCTTTTTATTTTTTCCTTTTTTTCTTCTACTTCAACACTTCTCTTCTTCTTCTTTCAACAATTGTTATAGATTTCTTTCTTCATTTCTTCCTTGCTTTTCTTTTCATTTTCTTTCTCTTTTCCAACTTTTCCTTTTCATTTCAGCTTACTAAGAAGTGTATGGAATAAATTGGACCTAGTTCTATCCTTTCTTTTTGTTCTACTCCTACCTAATCTGTACTTTGCTTTGAACACCCTTCTTTTTTTAGTTATGTTTTCAATAATCTCTCTTTTTAATGATTTCTCTGTCCATCTATCTCCACAAGACTTTCCCTCACTTATCCAAGAATTTGCTCAAATAGCTCTACTGTTAGAAGGTAGAGCGAGGAAGAGAAGAGCGTATACACAGGCAGGCAAAGAATTTCTTCTGTCTGTGTATGTACATACTTCTCTCCTCTCTACTCCTCCTGTCTTCCTTGCTACTATTCTCCTTCTCTTCTAATTTTCCTTTCTCATTTTCATACTTAACTATGTCCCATAACTGAATCATTGGATCTTTTAATTCTTTTACGTCCTTATTCCATTCTTTTCTTCACTTTTTTCCATATCTTTTAATCTTTTATCCCATTCTTCTCCTATCTTTTCTGAATCTTTCTTTACATCATCTCAAATGTCTCTTTCATCTCTTTTCCTTCCCAGTCTTTTGTTACCTTGACTGATACCCTCTTACCTTTTTCTCCCTCCATACGGTTTTCTCTGCTTTACCTGTATTCCCTTTGCTTTCCCTATTCCTATTTTCTTTTCTATCCTCTTTCTGTCTATCTTTTCTACCCTCTCTACGTTTCCGTTTAAATATCCTAACGTATCCATTCGCTTTTCTATTACTCTGTACCTCTTTCGACTCTTTACCTTTTGTCTCCAATTCTTCCTCTTCTATTATCTTATCTTTTTTAAATCTATACTTCCTACCTTATTCTTTTTCTCCTAATTCTTTAAACTCTTTCGCTTAGCATTCACGCACTTCCGTTCTTCCACGCGATCTGTTACCAAATCCTCTAATGCTTCTTATTAACTCTGCTACACCGCGGACAGCAAACAGGATATTCAGAATTACGGTCTCCAAGATGTTGTCCTGCATTCTTTTCACAATTGCATCTAAAGTAAATATAATAATACTATATAAACATCCATTTTGTGTCAAAAATTGAACAATGCATTAATACACATGCAACACTTTTAGTAGTAATGTAGAAGTGTTACATTTTATTATATGTATAATTTATTAAACTTACTCTTCTACTGTAAATTTATTCTGCGATGTGCACGTTACTTTTATACATCTTTGCTGATCTCCTTCAGGAAGCACCTCTCTAAGGCAGTTCTCTGAAATAATTTTTATGAGCTATTAAACTATAATAGTATAAAATAAAAAGAAACATTAATGTATATATGAATACGTATATACATATAATATATACTTTCTAACTCAAATCAATTAAAGAATAAATTTAGATTACTAATAAATGTAAGAATAAAAGATAATTCCCTGTAAATTTATTTAAATTATTTTTACATATCTACCGAGAAAGAGAGAGAGAGAGGAGGAGAGAAAATAAATACATAAATAAAATTATGTACCGTATTTCGGAACTTGCACTGAATAATGCACATATAGTAAGAAAATACATAACAACGCAAAACGTTTCATTATGAGATTTATGTATGTTGCTACACAAGAGAGATTCAATAAACTGTTATTTAGAATTCTTAAATCGAACTAAATTTATAGACTGTCTCATATCATAAATGCAATGTCAGGAATAAAGATAAGACTGTAAAACTATCCGCATCATAAGTGTGAGTAGTGCCCTGTCGTAATTTTTTATAATCTTACTCAGAGTTTTCATATGTATTTGTACTGAAAAGATAATTTGTGCAATTCACAAATTAAATAAAAAGGTAATAATAAGTGATAATAATTTAGAACAACAATTCATGCATTATATAAGAGATGTATTTTAGCATATTCAGATTATCAAAATTATCAGAGCTTCACATTATATATTAAATTGTTAACATATGTGAACAAGTTTTAATAATATTGTTTAAAATAATTAAATACACACACGTCTGCGATTTTGCTGATTTAATTTCGACTTAAGTTTTAACGCACATTAAAATTGAATGTTTCTAAAATTAGAAGCTCTTAATTAGTTTAAAAATAAAAATTGATTTAATTAGGGTAAATCGCATTTTCTCTTCTAAATTAATTTTTATCCTTACTTCTTTCTCGGATTATTCGGATTATTACTGCTGCAACTAATATGTTATAATTTTCTTTACATTTCAGGCAAACTTGATCAGATTAAGTTGGGTAATATTAAATAAAGGAAGTTCGCGCACGCATTCTGTAAGTGGTATTCTCAAGGGGCATTTTGGACTTGATCACGAAGAAATGTAAGAGAGAACGCACTCACAACCGCGTTGTACCGCGGATATGTCGTCGAGGTAGGTGAGTCCATTCCCAAGGCTTTGTTGAACGGGATAGGTACCGAGCCCAAGGGACACGCCGAGCTACAAGATCTCTATTATGTCAAGGAAAGGCGGAATGAGCTTCTTGGGACTTTCGTTTCGTTCGTTCGATGAACCGATCGTTCAATAGGATTCATTTTGGCTTTGATGAATCTTGATTTGCAAAGTAAATTTAATGATCGTTTTAAACATAGTTTTAATTTGATAATAATATTCAGCTTTAATAAATAGATATCTGTACTTGTCACGGAATAGTACCACTATATAACTAATGACGCAAAATGTATTACACAAGAGGTCATAAGAATCATAAGTTATCAATCGTTGAAATTTTTTTATATATGGAATGATAAGATATATTATAACGTAGCTTTTGATAACTTTAGAGTTCAAGCGTTTGCGTTCTGCAACAGTTTTGCATTTTATCGCAAGTGATTTCTTGAAAATAACAGTTTGGTATAGTTTCCAACTTAAAATAACAAATGTAATGTCAGAGATGGATATAGTTTATTTAGCTTGCAGCTATTAAAATTATACACAGTAGAATTCTAATATAACGTACATACCGCTATAAATTTTAAACTTTTAAAAATAATGGTATTCTTTATAATAATAACCATTCAACGTATATATAGCTGCATTACTTCTAAAATGTTCACTTTATTATAGCAAGTGATAAAATATTCAAAAACAGAAACCGGAAAAGGTGTCAAAGTTTAAAAATACACTCTGTAATAGGTGTAGCTTCAAGTCGTAATAAAATTTTATTTTATGCGATTGTTTTTAACGAACCTCCTCCGATCTATACTGCAATTGACAACTTCTTGTGCTTAATTAAATGCATGTTATTAATACAAATCTGCTTTTTAAAGAGCTTATGAATATTTAATACGGTATCAAATGGAAAATGAGATATCCATGTATTAAAACAAGAAATCAATTCGTGCAGGTCGCGTATAAATTTAGAGCGAAGGGAGTAAAATCCATCGCAAAATCCGGCACACAACAGGGTCGTAAATAATCAACGGCTCTTCGATCCGACAACAATATTGTAACACCGATACTACCGTTGCCGATAACGTGCGATTGACAGGTCAGTCTCTATCGGCATATATCCTATCTTCGTCTCCGTGACAGGTGCCGTGGTACAGTTGCACTGAAAGCGCGCGATTCGTATAACGTGAAGATCCCCAACGTCCACGAGCGCGTAATAATTTTTGCTTCTCAGCTGCAATAACTCATCGCCATCGTTGATACTGGAGAAAAACAAATTCGTGTTGTTTCCCTTAAGAACTTGTTCGGGTAGAATGGCGGCGTATCTTTTCATTGTTTCCTCCGCGTCTTCCGCCGCTTGACGAGCTTCCTGCAAAAAGATTTGCACGAATGATCGCGCTACGGATCGGGCGCAGTAATACAGATCAAAAGTTGCATGCATCAAACTATTACAAAGTACTTCGCATCGAAAAAAAGACCTTCCTTCCCTTCTCTATCCGACCAGTAACATCATCGACTTTCCGGAGCCATGTTTCAATATTTCGCCGCTCCGAGACTTTATTCAGTTGTATGCGCGCGATAAAAAATAAAGTGGGCTATCACTGCTGCGTTCTTACCGCGATCTCCGATTCGTTCTGTTTATCCTCGGCGAGCCTTCGCCATTTCAGGAAGGCAGCCTTATGCACGCTCCTCGCTTTTTCGTATTCCGGGTAAACGTCAGTAGCGAGGCTCTTGTATCCGAATGCGCCAGCTGCGTTGGTATTACCGTCTTTTCCGTAAGAGCTACAGCCGAGGAACCAGACGGTGTATCCTCGCAAAATTGGATATTGCTTCGTTCGCATGTACCAATACAAGGAGAAGTAAAGAGCGAGCTCCTGATTGGGCCCACCCTTCCCGGGATGCTCGCCGAGATGAACGGTAGGTCGGCCACCCAACAGAAGGCACAGTCCCAGACCCCATTTGTCCTTTGTGGGAAACATCTCCCATACCTCCCGGTCGGTCAGAGGGCATACCGGACTCTCCTTCATCTGCTCGTACATCTCCAACTTAGTAATTTTGTTCTCAACTGCCAGGATCATTAGCGACGCGATCTTCGCATACTCCTGTGCGAATTCCTCGACGGTTCCGCCACAGGTGAAGTTTAATTTCAAAGGGGACAGTCCCAGTTTAAGGGCTTCCGCCGCCATACATTCTACAGCGTCGGCACTGTGCGCGATCATGTATTGTTGTACGAACTTGTATCTTTTCTTTTCGTCCAATTGGGCGTCCACCCCTGTTATCAGAGGCCCGAATTCCCATAACAGCTTGCGTACACTTTGCGATACTTTATCAATAAGCCCGTACTTCGTCAAAATATCTAAGGCTCTTCGGTCCTTCGGGTCGTAAGTGCATGGATCACCGCCCAATTGCGTTGACGGTTCGTTTGTCATTGCCGATAAGTCAGATGTATAGAGAGTGATGACTTTGGCCGGATATGCCAAACGCGCCAGATCACCACCTAAAGTTTTTCTTTTATTATAACCTTCATTCATCTAATGTTTTAATTATTAATATACAGTCTTACAAAAAAGATAATTTACACTTTTTGCATAAATATGGAAAGGTATACATATATTCTGTACATTATATTTTAGATTGAGATTCTTTTTAGTAAAGGAAAATTTAATCTATTATACACTTCTCAAGACATTAACATTAATCTCGATGTTAATCTAGTTGTAAAATAAAATTTTTGCTGATACAAATTAATTTTAATATAGATTTATGTAATGTGATTTGTGCAATGTGTTATGAAAGTGACAAAATGAATTTATCTAACGGAATTATGTTTATGTATAGATTTCCGAAGAAATGGTGATGAGATATACATATATATGTGAATTAAGAGTTTCACAGAAGCAGTTAATGAAATTTTCCTGCACCTAAACTACTTACCTCTTATCGCAGAAAGTTTATTTCTCACGATATTGATCTCCTCAAGAGTCGCATTAGCAGCTTTTAACCTGTTGAGAACCCTTAACTTATCTCTCAATGTAATTGTATCACGCGGGCAGCACAGAAGCTCGTCTAGATCTCGGGACAGCAAAACTATTAATATATCGCGTTTTCTTAGTCGCTTACAGTAATTCGCGATTTTTCGTGTAATTTCAATTGTCTTTTCGTCCGGCTGCCCCTCTGTCCCGGCTTCGATGAAAGTTATACAACTGTCCAACTTTGGAAAAGCGTCCGGGAAGCTCCACATCATGGAGATCGATTTACGAGGTACTACAATAAATCCCTTTTTCAATTGTTTGCCAACCATCCTTTCGATTGCCGAGCTCATCATAACTACTTCCTTCCCCCAGCCAACGATATGCAAGTTATTCTTTATTTTATACTTGACATTATTAATTGTTAGCACTGTACGCCCGTCATATTTAATCTTCTTAGGAATAATTGCTGACGGGTAAATACATTTTATACCGGCCTCGATGACAGCACTGAGATCTTGACGGATCTGCGTTAAGGATGTCGGTTTAAAAATTAAGAAAGTTACTTCAAATTTATATATTATAACATAATCGTATATAAAATAGACAAAGTTAAGAATTAATAGTCTTATGTGTAACGTGTGAAATATATTTATCACTCAATTAAAAAAGAGAGCTGACTGAGCGAAATAATTTACGATAGAATAAAACATTCTCCTTCACATGATATAAAATAGTTCAGATATCTTTAATGTGTTATATATGTTATATTAGGTTATATAATGTTATAACCTGCAACATGGCTTTCTCCCCGTGCAATTTTTTCGTATCTGTAATCTGTTTCTGCCGAATGCTTACTTCCATATTAGAAAGCGCGTTTCCTATCGTTATTTTGTCAAATCGTGTTTGCTTAAAAAAAATTTCACATCATGACTTCCTGTCTTCTTGCTTTTATCACTGCGATTTTTGCGTAGTTCCTTCTTATTTCAACAAATTAATTACATGTTTTCCCTTATGACGCATAATTTATATAACATATAAATACTTTTACGATTTTATAGAATAAATTAAAAACTGTTGGATATTGTGATATGATCTAGATGTTATATTTTAGGTTACTAAAATTTTAAGTTGAATATAATTTCAAGTTACTTTGAGTTATTTTGTTTCAATCATGTGAAAATTAAATTGATTTCTAAAATCAATTTCTAACATATTAAATAAGAATTTATAATAACATTTAAAGTTCATCATTCTTAAAAATTTTAATTAAATAAATATTAAAAGGTGTATTCATTTGCAATAGCGATCAGTTTTGTTGTACGCAGAAATTGTTTGCATTATTTATTATATTCTAATGATAATACCAAGATATTTTAATTTTGTTAATAATAATATGGATACTTAATTATCGACGAAAAACTGTTAAAGTACCGGTAATTGCAGGTAAATTTACTTCGTTGCTAGCAAATGAACATAAAGGATTCAGGAATATTCGAAGGGCATTAACACAGCCGATCGTCGGTGTCAAAGACTAATTGATGTGAGTATGCAAGAACCAAGAAGTTAATTTACAAATGTTTAGAAAATTAAATTAATAAATTTATATTTAATGTTTTATCTAATTCTTCTTAAATATTAATTTATTAACATTGCTGTAATGTACGTATTGCAATAGCTGCAATGTAACTGCAAGGTTTGTGCTGTATGGGTATGTACGTTCTTTCTGCCTAGAAATTTGTCTTAGATCTGTTTCTTAATATTTTCTGATTAAAGATATAAATATTTTGATTTACTTAATGTGAAAAATACTAAATTATTCGTAAATATTTCAAATAATAAAACGTAATCAAGTCGACATTTGATTCTAATAATTGGGTATTAATAATAGCGAGAGTACAGCGTGAGAAAGAAGAAAGAACATTGTTATCCGTATTTAGCAAAAACTCCGAGCGTACACGTCCATACAACAACATATATGCTTTCTTTTTGCGTCCACTCGATTTTCGGGCAAATTTTTTATCATCACTGACAAGTGCAATACGGATATGAACCAAAAACCGTTTTACCATCACGGAAAATGAATGTGGTTACGTAGTTTCTACATTGATGACAAAATGGACGTGATGGCGTTGCGAATCAGCACGATTTCGAGACTCTAAATCAGAGTCACAAAATAACATTCCCGATTTTGATTGGTGCCGTCATGCTTCGTCAAAAACCGAAAGTTGTCATAGCAATTAATTTAATTTGTAAAGTCTGGTAATAGCACAGAGAAACCTGAGAGCGGCCACGCCAGCGTTTTACTTGATACCGTTTTGAAGAGACTGTTTCGCGCGCCTTTACGCCCATTTTTAGTTTTGGAACTATTTTGCTATGCATCTTCTGACACTGCCGATAAAGTCACCATTTTGTTCATGCTACGCCTTATATGTATACATATACATAATGTATGTATATGGGCGTAGCACGGACGCGCACCAAGTGGAGACTTTATCGGCAGTGCTTGAAAATGGGTGTAGCGGAATATAGTTCTAAAAATGAAAATGGGCGTAAGGCGCTGGAATCAGCCGAGCAAAAAAGGTATCAAAACGCCGGCGTGGCCGCTCTCAGGTTTCTCTCTGGTAAAAGATGCATTTGCTCTGTGTGCAATGTCAAAGGCGAAACTTTAGAATAAATTAGTACGAATAAAGTGTTTCGATAAAAATACGCTATTTTATGTCAATGAGCGACATTTATCATTTTTATATGGATGGAACACATATTTCGACAACATGAAAAACAAATAGTAGAAGAAATGAATAAAAATATAAAAGGACAATTGGAAAAATTATTTATTTCCAACAGTACAATTTTATATCAAATTGTCATAACTTAAAAAAAAAAATTTTTTTTAAATATGCTGTATTTAGAGATAAGATAGCATGCAGAAAAGCAAAACGAACAAAGAAAAACGTTTTGATAGTAAGACTATGGCAATACATATTATATAAACAAATAAAAGTTTATTTTCTTTGATTATTCATGTAATTTATTTCTTCTATTTAAAATACCAAGCTTTACAAATTGAATTTACCGCTATGAAAACTTCCGGTTTTTGACGAAACGTGGCGGCACCGACCTAACCTTGATGTTATTTCGTGACTCTTTAGAAGGTCTCTACTCGGATTTGATCAAGTTCTACTGTGCGAACGTAAGAGAACTGAATGATAGGGGTTATGCCAAAATAACGTAACTTATTTGAGATACTGCGTTTGCAAAACAAATTGTGCTAGTGAGAACATCTGAGACTTTCTTAGAAAATGATTGGTGTCTTGAAGAAATAAAGTTAACAAAACACAATTATGTTCATCAACCGATAGAGCGATAGTGGAGTTACTAGTCTACACAAATAAAGGCTGAAAAATTCTAAAAAAAATAATGGAAAACCGTCACATTGATTTATTTCGCGTCATCTTTATGCTAAACTGTTTTGTCCCATTTCTTTCCTTCACGGGAGTGACAAGCGCACCAGTGATACCACCAAGTATCATAGACATCATGAAGAATGACTCGAAGCTGTGCCAGACATCCAAATTTTTATACGATTCAGAATATGCCAGACCTTGTGCATCCATGGCGTATCCAATCGCTTCTTGGAACTATGATCCAGAGACCTTGAGTAACTTTCTGTGTTTAGGAGTTTACGACACAGCATACAAGATTTGTCAATATTCTAGTCGGTTACAAATTCCTCTCAATAGTACAGCAACATTAAATTCATATGTGGAGAAATATGTTCCTAATAAGACTAAAACCCAGGAAGATTTTTGTAACAGTCTACAGGGATTTACGTCATTGTATAGTAAAATAGATTTCTTTTTGGCACAGCTGGTCGAAAGTCTTAATACACCTCATACATGTGTAAAGATATGCTTTGACTTACGAGATAAGTTTCATCCACTGTGCGCAGTACTTGCTTGGATTAAAAGCATTGATGATATGATGAAAAGTGTTAAGGTAGAAACAACACATGATCTTGTGCCAACTGATAAGCCACCTATGAATCAATTAAAGGATGGTGTAACAGGTGACATTAAAACTACACAGGTTGAATCTAAAACGATAGAAGTAAAAGAACCTAAAGAATCTAAAGAACAGAATAGGAAGCAAATTACGATAGATTCTAACAACAGTAATAATGTTAAAGAAGGTAACTCAAATGTTCCTGACAATGCGCCATTTGATGAAGAAAAAACAAAATTCGATACTGAGAAAGCAAATAATATACAGAAGAAAATAAATAATAATACACTGGAGACACAAGTTCACAAATTAATACCTTCAATATTTAACGAAAATAAAGAGAATAGTGGCACTGAGCTTGGCACTAATGTCGATGTTGCAAAACCTATAAAAAATATGCCTCCAAACAGTGATTCACAAGCTCCATCAATAAATAAAGCTATAAATAATGCAAAGAAAGTTGTAAATGAAGAAAACGCAGAGAAATCTAATAAATTGCAAGAAATTGATGATTTAAAACCCAGTACACTATCAGAAAATACACAAGATCATTATGATGCTGAAAATCCAGAAGTTAATATGGAAAATGATATTGATGGTATTAATATTTATAAATATATTTATAAAATACTTATAATGTATATCGTTGTCAAAATTTGTAAATGTACATTCATCTATTGTCTAATTTAATTTAATAAATAATCAAGTAACTAAAGACTCGATATTAAAATGAACGAATTACGAAAAGTCTTTAAATAATCTCACGTTTCTTGATTTTCTCTGAAGAGTGTGAGGTCAGTGTGTAGAAATTAAATGTACAAAGTCATTAAATTTTGTGGACATAATATGAAAAAAATTTTACTAATGTTGATGTTGCAATGAATATTTGTAACAGAACAAATTCAAGAGTTATTCGCAAAGAAAAATGGAATTTACTCACCAAACAAAGTGCGAATGTTGAAGAATGAAAAATCGAAGAACGTGAGATTGAAAAAATAAAATTATAAGAATTGCATCGGAAACTTTTACTCGACCAGTTGTATAAATCCAAAAACAGAATACTTGATATAGAATAACTTCTGGTTGTCAAACATTGGTAGTTAATGTTCTGAAAAATATGAAATTATTTGATATCAAATCATATCAAAAGATATATTTTGAATGTTGTATAAATTTATAAATAATATATCGTACATATTTTGTATAATTTATGTGGCATTTTTATATGCATATATAAAAATAACTATATGTTATATGTTTATAATTTTTAGATGTGGGCGATACAATTCAACATCCAGATACAGGTAAGAATGTCTGGTGAAAGTTATTTTGTATTAATTCTGTGATATAATTGTGTACTTATATATGTGCATTTTCCAACAGGAAGTCATAATGACAATGTGCAAGAAACCTATGAACGGAAGAATAACAATGCTAGGCTAACGGAATATTCTAATATGCGAACGGAAGATGATTCCCATTTCTTCACTTACTTTACTGTGATCACTTTGGCTTGTCTCGCTGGATACATAGGTTATCATAATAAACAGAAGGTTAGTTTCACTCATGCATTTTTATTGTGCATTTATAATATTTGAAATGTTTATATTTCAGATACTTGCTATTGTATTAGAAGGTCGAAGATCAAGGAATAGTCGTGGTAGACGGCGACCGAGTACAGCTAGCTACCGAAAACTGGATTGTACACTTGAAGAAGCTGTTACATCGCAATGTAATGCTAACGTTACTCATGTCATATATTAATGCGAGTAGAGTATCACAAATTTTATAACGTCTGTATTATAGTATAACAAGTGTAATATATTTTGTATTTATAAGCATACTTTCAGTATAATATTTAATTTTCTAAAAGTTTTATATTTTAGCATTGAATCGATCTGTCATAGCAATGAAATTTACGAATAATATATAAAATAACGTTTAATATGATATCAGAGAAGCTAATTATATTTTTCAATTTATATTACAGTTTATATTTATTATATTATAGTTAATTTACATTTTATCGAGTTAAACATGATTCACAATTTATAAAACTTTCATTATATTACGGTTAATTTCCAGTACATAAATTGTCCAATATATTGGTAGCAAAGTTAGCACCAGTAATTTGGTAGCAAATTTGATTGAAAATTGTTAGCAAATTGGCATAAATTTTGTCTACGTAACACTCATGTTTTATCGATAAAGCACCTACTGACTTAACATTATCAAATTTATTATCAAATGCTCCATTTCTATAAGATTTTGCTCTACTTCTGTTAACAATTTGTCTTAAAGTATATGGTAAAGTCTGTTTAATTTGTGCTATTAATCTACTCATATAATATTTTATCATCTTTTGTTATATTTTTGTTAGTATGTGCTGAATTCAACAGTATTACATACCTATGTCAGATCCATGATTGCCACTTTCAGATTAGTATTCCGCCGGAATCGATTTTCTAAAGGAAAAGGAGAACCAGTGAAAGTGTTCAATACAATTAGGTGATTAGATCAGCTGCAGATTTGTTCCATCTGTCGGAGTGCCAGAGATTTGTTCGAAAAACTGGAGGTTAGGTTGAAAATTGGACAAGTGGCAATCGTGGTCAGATCTTGTATTATATTTGCAATATTTTTGCCGACAAAATTTTAAGCAACATTATTCAAAATCTGTTGTCGATAGAATTGGTTGTATGTGTATTGTTGAAAAATCTGTAAAATTAAAAAATTTTCTTGTATATTAGGAAGTTCGGAAAGTTTTCACCGCTCACATTTAGATAGCTTTAGCTGCATATTTCAAGAACATAAATAGCTATGTCTTGAGTTATTTTAAAAGTCCTACATAATTCAACGAAATTCAATAAACAGACGTCATTTTTTGTGTACTAAATTATAAATTTTTAATTGCAATAGAAATAGATCGCCACAAGTTGTTTTTCCAAAATGTGTACTTCTTCACTATTTTGATTTAAAAAACGTACTGCTGAAGCTCATCAATTACTTATGGAAACTTATGGTGATTTCGGCTCCATCAGAGAGAACATGTAGACAGTTTGAACGATTCAAAAAAGGTGATTGTGACATCAATGACAAAGAATTATGATCGGGTCATCCGGTAGGAGGGCTTGGTATATTATGAGTTGGTAAATTCGAATGAAACAGTCAGTACTGAACGTTATCGTGATGCAAAAACGGTCATCTATTGCATAAAATCACCGAAAAGTGATTCTCCGTGATAATGCTCGACCTCATGTTGCTTTGGCTGTAAAAAAACAGTTATTGGAGCTCGAATGGGAGGTTCTCCGTATCCAGCATATTCACCGGACTTTTCTCCATCGGATTATCATCTATTCCGTTCAGTGCAACACAATCTGGAGGATACACACTTTGCAATTTACGGTAGTAAAAAAATGGTTTTCTGAATGGATCAACAAAAAAAACAAGCCGTTTTATCAACGCGGAATCCAACTTTTGCCAGAAAGATGGGAAAAGGACATAGTTTCTGAGGGCTAATACTTTTATCAATGAATTCATTCAATTTGTTATTGCAAGAAATGCATATTTTAAGAGAAAAAAAGCGAAAACTTTCCGAACCACCTAATATTTAGAAATAATTATGTTAAATACAGAAATGTTTAATAATTTCTTATATATATTTTTAGCATTTTAATGTTACCATGAGTATTTATATTAAGTACATTGTATATAACATTTAGAAAACATGTTTTATATTATACACATTTGGAGTTTAGCAATTTACAACAAACATACGACATATTAATTATGACTGAATATTCGCACTAAGCATGATTTAACCATTAACACAAGTCAATATCGGACAATCTATCTATGGACTATAATTAATTGTTAATTGATTTAATGTGTATGATAGTTGATCATTTGATATAGCATTTCTTATCCATATATTTACATTTTATTTTTGATGAGTATAAGTGTTGAATATAAGTTTAATGAATATTTTACTTTTAATCACTCTATGTGACACGCTGCAACGTCATAATTTACAAACTAATCTAATCATTGTACGTTACTTGTATTATCAACATTTCTTAGTTGATCTCTAGAAAGCGAAATTTCACGATAAACTTTCAATCTAAGATGCTTAAAACCGTATCTAGCAATTTTAGCGGCACAGATAATTGATATGTAGATTTACTTTAATCTTATTGTTAGTTTAACGTACGTAAACTTATATTTTTGAAAAGAATAAAGGGTTAGCCGCGACAGGGTGTTAGTCCTTTATTCCTTTAAATTTGTGTTTATCATACATTTGAGCCATACGAATTTTAGTTATATATTTTTAGTTTTAAGAATTAGAAAAAGATATTGTATAAAGTAAGTTAAAGTTACTGACAATGAGAGATTAAAGTTAATCTGCATTGATAGAAATGAACATAAGTGATTACATGTGTAAAAACAATCGCATGGGTGTCGCCGTAAAACTTAGGCCGATATTCATAGTCAGATCTATATATTCAAGATCGTCTTAAGATCATCTTTAGATACTCCGTAGCCAAGAAAATATTTCATACAACATCTTTAGATAAATTCAAGACTGTCTTGAATATAAGATCTGACTATGAATACCGGTCTTATTGGCATGTTACTTTGTCTTCCACGATACTTGAAAACGTAAATGTACGCAAGTTTTCTTTTTCAACACTATTCTGAGTTACAGATAGAATTGTAAGTTCCCAGGCTGTTCTTATAAATATCAAGAGACACGGTAGTGTTTCGCATAGTGAGAATCGATACGTTGTATATTTACCGTGTATATTATACGCGAGTAAATATACGCAATTTGAGAGACCCTCATATTTTATTTCTTTATACATTTATTACGCGTGTGTATGTGTTTGTGGATTCTTATTGACGATTTCTTTTAAAAATTAATCACGTTAAACTGAGATTTCATCGGTTTTGTGATATTTGTATGTATCTATAAAGCGGTATTCTAGGTACCTATCATTGAAATGTTCGGAATTGATTTCGATCGAAATTTTCAATTATTTCCTAAATTTTTATTGCGTTTTACGGGGGAAACGAATAATTTTGATCAGAATCCACTCCGAACTTTTCCGTGATAGATACACTAATTTAAATCTTCAATATTGTCTTTTGTCGTTAAACTGTTATCTGTTTATTAGTATACCTATTTTGCGCATATAGCCATTTAATTTCTTGTTTTAATTTTATGATTTGTTTAAATTCCAATAACAGCGAATCTAATTTTTCCCAGGTTTGTTTAGTCGTTTGTGCATAAGAACAATTGTTTTTATCCAAGTTACAACTAGTAGAAAATCATAAAATAGATTTATTATCTCCGAAATCTCAATCTCTTGTTTCTTATATTCGTAATATTTGATATACGTTTACAGGTAGAAAAATTTATAAAATTACGAAATCATTAAATTATAATATAAAGCTAATATCTAAATTTCTTTTATTATGTCTAAATAATTATTTTTGTGATAATATTTGCTTGAGTACTTTCTTAAAAGATGTATTTTTTAATTTTATTTTATAATATTACCAAAAAGTAATATATATAGGCATACTTTTATATCTTTGTCCCTTTACAAAAATAAAACTTGTGCGATTTGAAATAAGCATTATAATTTATTAGTGCACAGTTTTACTTCTTAAATCTTTGCTAAAAGAATGACTTAACTAAGAAATAATTATAATACCATAATATGTTTTAATTAACGCTATATTCTCTCTAGTAAAAGAAAAACCGTCCAATTATATTCAATTAAAATTCATTATTAATCTTGTAAATCTTTACATACAATTTGTAATAAATTTAATATATAATATGATAATTAGAGGAGGATCCCCTATTATGAGGTGGGCTCCTAATATGAGATAGCGGGGGTTCCTACAAAATTATCTGTTGGTTCTACCATGGAATTATTGCCCTTGGAGTGAAATCTGTTTAGTGGACAATTCATTATTAGATCGTACGTGTGATCATTGCGAAAATAGATTTGTGAAATCGGATGTTGGAAAACAATCCACTATCTCATATTAGAAGTCTATTTCATAATATAGGGGAAACTTTTTCTCTATATATGATATCTAAATCTGGTACTAGAGGGTAAATTAGATATTTAATTGAGAGAAAGATGCATCTATATTCTGTAGTATCCAACTACTATATTTTTTCAGAAGCACATAATTTTAACTTTATAATATACTTTATTATTATTACTACAAGAAAACAATTTATATTTAATATGTATGTATATGTGTACCTATGTATACACATGTATGGTTCTTTTATACACATTTAATATAATGATAAATGCAATTATCTCTGTATTGTTTATGACATGTATAACATATGACTTTTAATAAATATTTTGATTAGCTTCATTAAATACATAGCACATTAAATCCATTTTTATATTGATTCTAATACATGACGAAGTTTGTACGTACGTATAGACGTAGTCTTATATCTTCATTTTTTAAGAAACTAGACAACACAAGCGCGCGCTTTGAGATAATTACTAAAAGTATTAGTTATTAATTAGTATATAGATGTTAAATGTTCTTGTAGATATTTTTAGTCAAAATTATTGCAAGATTGCTTTTTTGTATAATTATTTTATAAATTTGAAGGTTTTTATTTCAAAATAGTTGAGGAAATAATATAATCTTGAATATTTATATTTGCAAAAGTATATAAAAAGTAGAAACATGAAAAGTGACATTATTTTCTAATATTTATCTTAATGAAAGAATTCAAAGTACATTTTCTTTTCCTTTTTTACAAATAATTTCTAGATGAGTTTGTAAGTTTTAATATTTAATGATAAAATCTTATCCAAGTTCGCTACACAAACTTTCGTTTCTTTTTTAAAACAACAATTTAGAACTCCCACCATAACGTTGACATATGCAGTTTCGATTATTCCAAACGATCGAAGTGTTATCGCTAATACAACAAAAGTAATTGGGTGGATGATAAAATAAAATTGAAAACGCCCACTGTGATTTGTTAACGACGTAAAAAGATTTGATTGTTGTAGTTCGTATTCATATCCATAACACTGTGACATACTCATGCTGTGGTACCCAGTGAGAAATGATTCGTCGATCGACGTCGAAACGACGTCGAATCGACATCGACACCGTCGAATTGACGTCGATTCGACATCAGTTCGACGTCGATCGACGAATCATTTCTCACTGGGTATTGCCTACGTGATATTGAGCTTATTACATTTTAAAGAACTGCTGGGTTATACATTGATAAGATATTGTATTTGAGAGTCTGTGAATAAACGATTATACATGTAAGATATTAAAATAATCATTCCAATAACAATTAACATAAGTTTTCGTGACATTCATAATTTGAAGTAGGTACATTTATTTCGTAGAATGTCGATCTATTGAAGAACCTATATCCAATAAATATTTATATTAAGATAAAGTTTCATATTCAATTTACATTTATTTCTTAGTATCCGTTACATGGCCTATCTATCCGCGCAATAAGTACCATCTTTGCTATGATATTTTATCCAGTTTAAGTAATCTGTGTTTTTCACGTATACACCTGGGACTCCAGGATCGGCGCATCCAATACCCCAGGAGACTATACCTTGGAATGATAGTAGAGAAAATCTTATAGCTGTAGGTAATACTTGAAAATAGAATTACAAAAATTTTATAATTTTGTAATTTATGTGTGTTACACGAGATAATCTTTTAATCGATAATTGATATTCAGTTTTAAAAATATGATTGAGAGAATGTTTAGAACATACATATATAAGATAAAATTGATGATATTCTTACCAGCTATTTCATATTTTCCATCCGTTCTTTCGTACAGAAGTGGTCCGCCACTGTCACCCTGAAATTGTATTATTATTAATATCTTTCAAATGCTGCATATACCCACATAGCACAAATGACTGTTTGCCGGCTGATAGTCGATTTTTTAGTCACTTTGAAATCAACTTTTTAAGTCGAAGATATAAAAATCTTTTCGTCATCTTTTTCCTTATTTTTTCGGCAAAGTGCAAAAAATATCTTTTTGGCCAATCTTTCTGGTCAATATGTCGAACCGATATATGGCTAATCGACGTCTCATTTTCAACGTGTAGCGCGATAGTCGTGACATGCATGCTCCTTCGTGAATGATCAGTGTCTTTCTGATGGACTACAATTGTATTTAGATATAAGGTGAGTCATATTTTTCGCGTGGCTACTGAATTAATACAATTTAATGTGTCGATTAATACAAGTTAATCAAAGAAACCTGTTAAATTTGTCAAAAATATAAAAGCATAATTAAATAATATAATATATACTCTGGTTTATTGTCTGTTTTTTATTAAGACATATGCCCATTATAATTATTATTTAAGTTTAATTGAAGCATTTTCAAAGACTTATCAATATAATTTTATAGCTTATAGATCAATATAATTTTATTATTTCTTAATTGTATTATATATTGTAAATATTATACAATTAAAATATAAAAACTTTAATCAATCAGGCTTTCAAGATGTCATATTAAACATTTAGTAGTTAATATAAATAACGTAAAATTGACTAAAAGTTGACTTCTGGTCGCCATAAAGTAGACTTCTAATCATCATAAAGTCGACTTTTATTTGCCATAAAGTCGACTTCTAAGTCGACTTTTGACTGATTGACAGCCGACTATAGTCGAGTCATTTGTCGACTATTAGTTGACTATAAGTTGACATTCAGCTTGACTTTGAAGTCGATTTTAGACTTCTGCTGCCGACTGACAGTGAACTAATAGTCGACGTGGTGCTGTTTTGGTATATATGAAAGGTAGATGTGTTTAACACTCTGAAGTTTGTTGATTTATACAAGATTGTTTAGGACTCATGGAACAAACTTCATGAGATGATAAGTGAATTATTCTTTTATATCAAGACAATCAAATTTTGTAAAAAACCCTCCCTGAAACGCTCTGCTTGTGTGGACTGTCGAATACATAAAAGAAAACTCAATAGCTATTTAACAATGTATGTATGTTTAGTAAAAAAGATGTTCGATATTACATTGATCTCTATATTAGAAGATTTAAATAATCACAATCACGACATAATACCTGGCAAGAATCAGTATTGTCATTGTAAGCACACAGCATCGATTCCGTGATATGATCTCCAAATGAAGTATTTTGACAAGCTGCGAAAGACATTACTTTTAGAGTTGCTTGACGTAAAAATTGAGAAGGTTCTCCTGCCACAGAAACACGTCCCCATCCAGTAACTTGGACATATTTTTCCGTATAATCAGAACCTATCATTCAAGATTTATTTATTAAATTGCTTATTTTTATATTTAAAAATGTTGACATGTATGTGCAAAAGTATTGTATAAGAGAAATATCAAATACTTTAATTTTTTTAAACTTTAATTCTATCAATTTAATCTTTAAGTTTAAATATCTTAACTTAAATAACTTAACTTAACTTAAATCTTAACTTAGCTTGAATATCTTAAATATTAGATATGAGAACATTCTATAATACAAAATGCTGACCTTTATGTGGAAGGCATACAGGTCTCACGTTTTCATCAATTTTAACTGAACGCTGTAGTCGAATCAAGGCAATGTCATTTGTATCATGAAGATAATCACTCTCGAAATCTTCATGTAAAATTACTTCATCGATTGCAGCTATAAATCCCTCGTTTGAGTTTGAGATATCGTGCATACCTACGCCAATCGAGAGATCGGCATAATTTGTCCTATCCAAATCGCAAGAAAATATGAAAATCAAAATATTTTGTATCCGTGATGTACAATGATACTTGTTTCCATAGCAGATAAAAGCACAATTGTAATAATAATATGAAATAATATAAAATAACGTATTTAATAAAATTTACTTTTTATTGATAATATTATAAATATTTATGTGGAGACTCTAATGTTTTTATAATTGCAAATAAAAAGTAAGATTTAGAATGTTATCTATTTGTGCTTTTTTAATATGCTTGAATATTTTATGATTTGCTAAATAACATATCATCAAACATATTTACATTGCTTAGTATTGTATAACTTAGTATTGCATATGAGTTTAAAAAAAACCACATTTATAACGATATTTATAATCTTTCCAAGAAAAAAATAGATAAGATACCATTTAACACAATGTCCGGCTGTTAATACATATCGATTATTAATTAATGTGCCTCCGCAATGAAGATTTCTCTTATTGAGTATTGCCACGACCCAAGGAAAGATATGCGGAATTGTTATCTTTCCGCCGACAATACGGTTCGATATTCCTCCCGTTTCTCCACATTCTGTTATAAAAAGAAGATTTAACGAATTCATTCAAATTTCATATACATGCGGATGAAATGTAATAAAATATAATAAAGTATATTGTACGTATTGTACGATACTTCTTCATAGATTTGTTCAAAAGTGATTGATATGGATATTTAATGAGTAAATTTAATTGGAAAAGGTTTTGTTCTATCATTTGTTATTCATTCTGTAACATGTATTCTGTATATTTGACTTAAAAAATTTTGTTCACACTATTATTTTTATAAAGAACAATTAATCTAATGAAATGTACAAATGTCCACTAAATTTAAGAGACTATTTTGAAATAGTTAAATTTAGTGAACATTTACACATTTCAATTGATTAATTCTATAGTGTAATACTATGAACAAAATATATTAAGCCAAATACAGAATGTATATGGTATTACAGAATAAATAAAAGTTTATAGAAGAAAATCTTGTTTCAATTAAATTTTAGAATAAAAGAAACCTAATATTGATGCCTACATGCTTTTTATTATACGAATGAGTTTCGTCGCGTGCGTATATGTGCATAATTTCAATATGATCTTTACCGCATTTTGGATTTATTCGCAGTTGTAAGCGCTTTTGCGCGCGTATCGCCTGAAAATGAGCACAATGCAATTATTCGGTAAGTAGTGGATTATCAACCGTGCTCCATTTCGACTTGCCCTTATGATAATTTCATTTAATTACTCTCTCAACGAACGTCTAGGATCAAAAAGATGCCAATTGCAGTCGTCAGAACCAAGTCAGCCTTCATGATTGCTTCGCGACTTCTGTCGCTTCTTCTAGCTCTTTTGCCGTCGAAATTTCACCTTCTAAATACAGCACGAGGCGACTACTGAGTCTAATACAGAGAACACTCTCTTCTATATCGAGCCGGAAATAACAACGGTAACCAATTTCGACGCTGCATCATTGCCAAGCGTATCACCTCGTACGCGTTTTATATCTCGAGGAACGTGTACCAATAAATCGCTATTCTCATTAACACTTGGACGGTTCTAACGAATGATCACGTAGCACAAAATACGCGGCAATCTCCACGATTTGAATTAATTATAAAATCGAAATGTAGATTTCAGAATATCGGACGTATGAACAAAGTAAATAAGTTATTTGTATAGAAAAAAATGTGGAAGCGATTAGCTGTTATTTGTTGATATATACAGGGTGTCCTAAAACCACCGGAGGTCCTCTTAATGACAGATTCCTTAGAACATTTCCAGACGAAAATCCTAATACAAAAGTGTCGAGGCTATAATAGTTTTTAAATTAGAAGCGATTATTTTCCACAAATGATAGGGCTGAAATTTCGCGCGCTCAGGAACGGCGAAATGACAAGTGATATAAAAAGAACGATATTCATAGGAGCACTTATATCACTTGTCATTTC